TTGCAATTTGACTTTCTTATTACAGGAAAAAATAATAATAATAGCCACCAAGGCACTACAGATAGTCTTTCCAAAAGAAGAGTTTCACTTTTCGTATAGTGGGGGTAAAGTCAAAGCTTTGCTAAATTAAATAAAGGCAATCTGCTGTACTGCGTGAGGGAAATGGTTGCCACCATGCATTCATTTCGACCGAATTGCCTAGTATTTGACATTATATATATATATATATATATATATATATATATATATATATATAGGCGGGTTCAGGTGCGGCAGTACCTTACGGTGCGGCTATTTCTTACGGTGCGGCAACACCAATAGTTCACCAAATATGCACCATCAACGTTAGGAAATACACCACACAAAACAGAGTAAACAGAGCCCTGCATCACCAAACACACACCATTAGGTGTGAGTAAAAACACCATACACTGTTCGGAAATACACCATTGGGGGTGGTGAGTTATATGGTGTATTTTTTTGAGTCTGTGGTGTATTTTGTGATGTTTTATTACATTTCATTGGGGTGTGTTTTTATTACACCGTTGGTGCATATTGTTAACACTGTTGGTGTATTCTGGAATTTGACCGCACCGCCGCACGGTAAGACCCCGCCGCATATGAGCGCTCTTCTATATATATATATATATATATATATATATATATATATATATATATATATATATATATATATATATATATATATATATATATAGATTTTGGTTCCTGTGAAAATAGGTCTTCCCGTGCGGTCAGTGCGACATACACCATTAGGTATACATAAATGCACCATACAGTGTTTGAGAATACACCAGAATGAAATGCATAAAAATGCACCACACAAAAAAAAAAAAAAAACACCGCACATAATGGTGTATTTTCAAACACTGTGTGGTGCATTTATGCATACCTAATGGTGTATGCCGCATTGACCGCACGGGAAGACATATATATATATATATATATATATATATATATATATATATATATATATATATATATATATATAGGTACTGGTTTAAATGCAGACAATACTTCTCGTGTAGTTGGTGCGAATTCACCATTAGGTATGCAAAAATGTACTACTGAATGTTTAATAATGCACTATAATGAAATGCACCAATGCACAACACCAAAAAATGCATCACACCTAATGGTGCATTTTTGAACACTTTGTGATGCATTTATGTGTACCTAATGGTAACTGATTGTACAAAAAAGGGGAATATGACTATATGATATATATATATATATATATATATATATATATATATATATATATAAGTTGACATAATATGGAAACGCTTTTGTTTTGGATATGCATATCTGTGTTAGTGGAAGGATCAGTTTCAATCCTACATGGCTTCCATGGAAACAAAATGGCAGACTAATGTAGGGAAAGCTAAGGGGGTCCAGCAGTCGGAGAATAAAGTCGCAACACCCAACAGCTCTAGGCAGGAAGTACACATCAATGTAAATACAAGAAAGGCGAGACAAGGGCCTATGCTTTCATTGTGACCAAAAATATTTGCCCGGTCACCGTTGTAAGGGTTGATTCTTCTTGCTTATTAGTGATGATGAAGACGAGGCCATACAGGGAGAACTAACTGCAAGCGAGAATGGTATTTTTTATGAGGAAGTCATCTTAGGGGATGCCTCTATGCTCAATACTATGACAGGACCAGGTAGTCCATGTTCCCTGCGACTTGTGAGCAAAATAAAGAGTTCCCCGTATGTAGTATTGATTGATAGTGGGAGTACTCACAATTTTATAACTCAAGCTATCGTAGAGAAATTGCAGTTGCCAACCAAGGCCATCAAACCCTTCAAAGTGTATATTGGAAATGGCGATACACTAGGTTGCCAACATGTTTGTCCAAGCGTGGAGATTTGCATGTAGGGATTTACCTTCACAGTGGACTTACAGGTGTTAGGGATCGTAGGGCCGGATGTGGTATTCGGTGTCCAGTGGCTCCAGAGCTTGGGGAGTGTGACTCATGATTATTCAGAGATGGCTATGACCTTTCAAATGTGTTCAAAGAAAGTCACGATCAAAGGGAAATTCGCTCTAAATAATCAACCCGTCTCATTTAACCAATTGCAAGCCATGACAACCAACAGTGATATTCAGGCACTTTATGAGATACACCACATAAATACCCCTACCAACACCCCGCCAACTCACAAACAGTCCCCGCCAACTCACAAACAGTCCCCTTCTCCATCCTTAATTACCAAACCCTCTCAAAAATTTACTACTCGAATTTTCATATATTTTCTAGCCACCGGATACCCTACCCCCTCACCGCACTTTTGATCACAAGATTCATTTTTTGCCTAATACCAAACCAGTAAATGTGTGCCCATACCGTTACCCATATTTTCAGAAGTTAGAAATTGAGAAATTAGTACGAGAGATGTTGGAGCAGGGAATTGTGTGATCGAGTCGAAGCCCCTTCTCCTCACCAATTCTATTAGTCCAAAAAAAAGGATGGGACTTACCGATTTTTTTTTGGATTACCGGGCATTGAATGCGATTACAATTTGGGATAAGTTTCTAATTCTGACAGCAGATGAGCTATTCGATGAACTAGAAGGAGCCTCCATTTTTTCAAAGCTAGATTTGCGAGTTGGAAACCACAAAATAAGGGTGGCAGATGAAGATATATTTAAAATAGTTTTTCGTACTCACGAAGGGCATTATGAATTCTTAGTTATGCCTTTAGGGCTCATGAATGCACCATCGACGTTTCAAGCGGAAATGAACACAATCCTGGGTCCTTTTTTGCTGAAATTTGTGATAGTTTTCTTCGACAATATATTAATTTATAGTTCGTCCATGGAAGCTCATATGAGGGTGTGTGAGGTATTTCTCTGCTTACAAACAAATAATTTCTATCTGAAACTATCGAAATGTGTTTTTAGGCAAGATTCCATCGAATATCTCGGTCATATCATTCACCACGGGAAGCTTCAAACGGACCCCAAAAAGGTTGAAGCAATTATCGTTTGGCGTGCACCACTGTCCATGAAGTAATTAAGAGGGTTCCTTGGGTTGGCAGGATATTACCGATAATTTATAAAAAGATTTGCGGAGATAGCTGCTCCCCTTATTGATCTTTTGAAAAATGATGCTTCTGAATGGGGAACCCATTGCAGACCAAGCCTTACAACGACTCAAGGAAGCTTTGGCTTCAAATCCTGTTTTGCACCTGCCAGATTTTTCCAAACCATTCGAAGTGGAAGTAGATGCATCGGGAACGGACTTGGGAGTATTTCTCATGTAATAAGCCCACCCAGTCTCTTATTTCAACAAGAAAATGGAAGGAAGGTGGATGACAACATCAACATATTTAAAAGAGTTACAAGCTCTAACTATTGCCGTCCAGAAATAGCGCCATTATTTGCCCAGGAGTTCATTTATTATTAAAATTGATCGTTTTAGTCTTATGGAGCTCCTGACCCAAACAATCCACACTCCGGAACAACATAAATTCATTCACAAGTTACTGGGGTATGATTTTCGAATCGAATATAAGCCCGAAAAAAATGAAGGTAGCTGCAAACACTTTATCACACATGCATGAGGCTACTTGTGTAATGTTGATTGCTAGTTGACATGTACCGGAGTTTTTAGAGATTTTGCATTGGGAAAACACTGAGTTAGAGGACCTTAAAGTCCTTCATCAACGCATGGATGCTAATAAATCATCGACAGATTTCTTGCGAATGCACGGTATTTTATTTTACCGTCAACGCTATTATATTAGCGCTCAGTGTCTTTGAAACCAATTCTATTGCTGGAATTTCATGCATCCAAGGTTTTCGGGCATTCTAGAGTGAAGTGCACGATGGTCCGATTGTCATCTTTGTTCTTTTGGCCGTACATGCGATGTGATGTTGAGGCATTCGTTGCCTCTTGTTTAACTTGTCAACAAACCAAACTTCTGACTAATGCTCCAGTTGGGTTGTTGCAGCCACTTTCGGTTCCAGAGACTGTGTGGGATAAGCTCACAATGGATTTTATTTTTTGTCTACCCTCTTCACAATGGTACACTGTTATTATGGTGGTGGTTGATCGACTCACAAAGTATGCCCATTTTGGGGCTTTACCAACCAAAAGAACGGACTAACTTTTTGTTGACATTGTTATCAAACAGCATGGGTTCCCAACGTCAATTATATCCGACCGAGACCCAATTTTTACATGCACATTGTTCGAGTTGAGTGGTACGAGACTTCGACATAGTACCTTGTATCATCCCCAAACTGATGGTCAAAGGGAGGTCGTAAACCGGGGAGTTGAGCAGTATCTTCGAGCATTTATAAGTGATAGACCGACAACATGGGTCTCGTTACTAAGTTGGGTGGAGTTTAGTTAAAACAACAGCTACAACCAAAGTCTAAAAATGTGTCCATTCAAAGCTTTGTATGGTAGACTTCCCCCAGTTATTTCCCATTATGCTCCAAACTCCACCAATATCACTGCCTTGGATGATCCCTTGAAGGACGGTAATGTCGAATCGAATGGTGAAAATGGTGAATCCTAAGCGCCGTGAGGTCAAATACCAAGTGGGAAATATGGTGTGGGTGAAACTCCAACCTTTTCGCCAGGTTTCGGTTGCAAAACGTCCATTCCCTAAACTGAGTGCTCGTTACTTTGGACCATTTGCAATTGTGGAATGGATTGGCCCTATTGCCTACCGTTTGCAGTTGTCGCAGTCTTTGAAGATTCATCCAGTCTTTCATATCTCTCTCTTTAAACCTTGCCGGGGTAATGCCATGGAATTACACAACCCGACTATCCCAGTCGTCTTCCTTTAAGATATGTCCTCGGCGCCGGTTCAGATTTTGGACACCCCCACTATTCTTCGTGGGGGGGGGGGGGTACTTGAACATCAGGCTCTAATTCACTAGGTTGATTTGCCTCCTGAAGAGGCAATATCGCTTCCTGCAAATGTACTTTCTGACCTTTTTCCTAGCATTCATCGGGTATTGATACAACATTGCTGGTGCTGAGTTCAAGTCAAAAGGATGAGAGAAATGTCATGCATGCAGAACGTGGAACTAGTAATACCAGGCCGATGAGGATGCACAAGATGCCGATTCGCTTTGCGGATTATGAGTTATATAAGCGTAAACATTAGTTAGTTATGATCCATGAATTTAGCTTATATTGTTATTTCTCTATTCTATTTAAAGCTTTATAATAAGTAGTAATGCATACGTGAAATACATTTGTTCTTGAGTTTTATTTATTTTCTTGGGAGTTTGGTTCTTGCTCGAAAAGGACTACCGATATGTTTGCAGGGCGATCACATCAGTGAGAGAAGAGAAGAAGAAGAAAATAAAAAAGTGCCAAATTTACCTTCTAAGTACAATAAATAGTGCAATTAGACACCCTAAGTGAAAAATTTTCAATGAGCGAGGTTTATAATTAAATTGATAAAATAGTGCAAGTAGTCCCTAATATGAGATATTTAGGGAGTTATTACTGGTGCGGTGTTGGCCAAGCTAACACAACATTTTGGGCATAGGTGGATGCTAACAGTTTATTATTATTTTAATAAAATAAAATAATATTATTTATTTTAAAAAATCATTGGCTATCTTTTGTTGATGGACAATTTTTTAGCTCTCCATTAACCAGGGCTAACAATCATGGTTATAAGCACGACTGTCTAGCCAGATTTGGAACTTCTTAGTGAAGGTGGGCTGACAAACTTTAAATCCCACCTATGATGAAAGGGGCACGAAGATAACCTATTCACCTCGATCTTAATATTGCCTCTGATAAGAAGGGGTGAAGATTGTTATGGGTTTCTGTTATGTTTGATGAATAATCACACAATGATTAGAAGACAACCACTAGCTGTTAGCAAAAACAACTAGTGTCTAAGTAATGCAAATAATACCAAAATTGCTAAAAGTTAAAATGAGAAAAAAAAAATGGGTAGCCTCTATTAGACGAGATTTCCCTTATGTTGGAAAATAACAAAAGCTTAAACACCTCTACCAATCCCTGGCAACTGTGACTTTTGATGATGAATATTTTTGTGTTGGTGAGTATTGTCATTCTCAAAAAATTAGAGATGGATTTTAGAGCCTATCTCAAATACAAGGTATTAAATCTTCTTATGGAAATCTAACCCTTAATAAAGGATAGTTGATGCATTAACAAACTCAAGTAATGAATAACAATGATAAGAGAGGAGGAGGGGAATAGAAATTAAGATTAGGTCTAGGTAATGCAACCAAACCGAGAATAAGAGAAGAGTCAATTGTCTCGATAACGAATGCCTTGTAACTGGATAGAAGCCTTTCTTAAGGTCATTTCACACTCTTAGAACACTTAAGGGCATTCTCATGACTCATAAGTGGCTAAGAGGCATTTCATCAAACACATTGATCTTGTCATCCCATACTCCCGTTTCCTCAAAGGTGAAGTAAGGTTAATTAACTCTTTGAGTCAAGATTAGGTAATCACTTCCTAATCAAAACTTAATCATGTTAATCAACATCATCAAATACAAGTCTCATATCCCCTACTCAACCAATTCAAGGTCACATCTCCATGAACCAAATTTACATCTCTGTATCCCTCCAAAAGAGATTACTCACTCACAATCACAAGGAAAATAACAATGAATTCAAGATCACATAAGTAACCCATAACAAACACAAAATAGTATATCAAAGTATGAAAAGCAAATAAGGAAATTGCAATGAAGAGAAGTAGAATTGACTTATCTATTTGATGAATGTAAATCTAATCTTCAATCCGTGCTCCACAATGAAAATGAAATTGAATCTAACTAGGACTTTGAATTGAAATTGCAATGTAATTGAAATTAAGATTGAAAAGTAAATTCTAGTGTTGTAAAGAAATTGGTCATTAAATTCTACTAGATAGTAACTAACTAATGTCTAAAAATTTAAAGAAATGAACTCCCAAAATAAAATCTAGTTTCTCTTATTTATATTCTCTGAAAATCGCTACGTCACGAGGCCCTCTCACCCGTAATGGAACCTAGTGACAGTCTTGACCACCTTGTAGAAGTTTGTTTCACGCCACCATGTCATGCATGATGCTAGCTCAAGGTATCAGAAACTACCTCTCTAAAGTTGTCCTGACGAACCCAAACTTTGCGCAATAAAGTTGTGTGATAGCAGAAAATGCTTCTCAAAAGTTTTCTTCGAGAACTCCAGTTACGCATGATGACCAATCGTGATAGCAGAGTCGCAGAGATTGGGTTGCTGAAGTTGTTTCTCACGAGCTGCGGCGGTTATGTGTAATACCTTTGCATGACATCGTCGTTTTTGCTTTCATCATATTTTGCTCCTTTTCTCCATTTTTCCGCGTTTAGAATTGCCCTTTTTATCTACAAAACACAATATTGCTTCCATAAGCCTCCCTACATACTTTATCACATAATCACATAATTGGCCTTTGTTTTTTAATCACAATTAAAGTAATACTAATCCAAAATTGACCAATAAATGCATAAGAAAAGTAGAACATGTAATTTTGCATTTTCTCTTTTTTGATAAATTAACAGAATTAGTCAACTGTCCGAGATTACTGATTGATTCAGTTACGAAGATAGTCAGTAATAATCAATCATGTAGAGGATGTAAGAGAAAGATAACAGCACAAACTCAACGACACAGAATATTTACCCAGTTCGATACAGTGTGTATCTACGTCTGGGGGACGATCACACAGGCGTCCAATCCACTAAATCATAATCCAATGTACAAAGGTAGATATACAATAATCTTACCCAAGTGCCCCACACAAGGTACATACCCAGTCTACACAGGTTTAGTGGATTGTTGAAGATGGAGAGTCATGCATACAGAAGTCCAATGAAATCCCTTCACTTGGAGAGCCCACTCTGATGCAGTCCACTTCAATGATGCGCTTTAATGTTGTTCCCACAACAGTGTGATCACAGTGTCCTTTCAATTAAGCAGCAGTGATTCTTCTCAAGTTCATCATCTTAATCACCATGAACATATTGTATTGAGAAGATACATGACAATCAAAGATCTAGTCTCATATAGTAGATAGGGAGTGTTTCTTCTTACTTTCGGCGTAACCCTAAATCTCTTCGAGTGATGGTACTTATAGATTCTTCAATAAACTCTCTCCATAAAAGACTTTGATTGTAGAAGGTAGGACTATAAAAGAGGAATGTAATCTCAGAAGATTACGTCCATACCTTTCTTGAAAATATACGCTGATCTTCTTTCCAAATTTGTCTGATAATACCGCGTAAGACTTTTAGAAATCAGCTTCCTAAATCAGATCTTCAGTGTCAGTCCTTCTGTTGTTGCTTCTGATTGATCAGTCGACTGTAGAGCTGGACGGACAAACTCTAAACCTATCTTAGTATGTGCCATAATAATATTGCCAATTATAATATGGGGTTTTTGAACAATTTAAAAACACTAACAAACTCCCCCTTTGGCTATTATTTGGCAAAACAACTCGACTATATAGATAGACAAAATATAAAGAACTAAGATAGGTTATTATAAAGAAGCAATCCATGAGTCTGATCCGATTACATAGAACTAAAACAAAAACATAAGATCCAAGTAGTGGTGCCATAAAAAACAACGCCCAGCCAGGGCCAGAAGGTACACAAACAAAAAAACTCCCCCTGAGTTCATACTACTTCCCCTTTTTGCCAATGATAGCCAAAGGTCAAGCATTGGAGGGAGTGTCACTGTCAGACATCGCAGGATCAGCAGCAGCAGCAGATTCAGATTGGCTTAAACGAAGAAGTACGGTTGCCAGCTCAGTACGGGCCCCTGTCAGTTGCTTTGCAATAATGCTATGTACTGTCTCAAGATCAGCGACCCTTGCCTTCAATTGTATGGAAAGCTGAACATCCTTAGCATGAGGAGAGTCATCAGACACAGCATCAGGTTCAGTATTGGATAGGGCAGATACAGGGACAACATCCCGAATGTGATCTCCAGTCAACAGACGTTTATCAACAGTATAGAGCAGTGTTGGGCTGATCACCTCACTGGGCATAGGCTCAAGACCCTGAGTGGTAAGAATGCCAAAAATCAGATTTGGGAAGGGTAGTCTTACCTTCTGTTCCCGTGGATGAATTAAGGTAAGAATGTGATAGTAAATCCATTTTCCCAGATCAATTGGCATCTTCGTTCCAATGCGAAATAAGAAGCCTGCCAGTAACTTGCCAACAATGTGGAAATGGGCTGATGGGAGCCAATTGTGAAGGGCCAGCCGATGTAGAATCACATATCTGGATGTGAGATGCGAGCTCTGCAGATAGTCCTTATCTCCTGTAGGCCATGATTTTGTCTGTCCACCAGTAAGAGTTCTGGCCACCAAGTTCCAGTCAGTGACAAGGTCTTCTTGCACAGCAGTCAAACCATAGTATTCATTGATCATGTCCAGCCCAAAAACGTACCACCTTCCTCTGATGAAAATCTGCATCGGTCGTGGCCCAGATAGGCTGTCAATCTCGTCATTGAGATTGCAATAGAATTCATACGTGAGAAGCTTAGAGTATGGGCAGATGTTCGTGACAGTCTTCAACAATCCGACTTCATTCAGCAAAGGTAAAATGTCACATACAGAATTCAGCTGGTTCTCATCCACAGATCGTTGAACAATAAGATCCTTTCTAACCATGGTAGACCATTTGGTCTAAGCAGCAGGAGAAACAAACTGAGGCCTGTAAACAGATGGATTAGTTTCTTCGACAGGTTGAACTTCAGGAGTAATGCTTCGTCCTCTTGATCGTGTGAATGGCTTCCCTTTTTTGACAGATGGTGCAGGTACAGAAGTAACTTGAACAGCAGGCCCCTTTTGCTTAACAGACGATTGCAGAGTCTTGAACACTTGTTGAACAGGCGGATTTTCTTCCGGCTTAACACCCTCACTCGACTTCCTTTTCTTCTCAGGCTGATCCACATCAGCACTGTCATCACCAGTCTCAACAACAACCTTTACTGGAACATTCTTCCTTTTAGACCTTCTTGTTTCTTTGGATGGGGATTGAACAGGAGTCACAGAATGACTGGAATCAGAAACATTGGCAGATGAGCTCCCAATAATATTCGAAATTTCTCGAATTTTGAAGGTCGTGGAGTCAGGATGAGCAGTGGCCTCAATAGTTGGAATGTTAGATGGAAGTGTTTGAGATCCATACACTTCAGCCAGTATTTTATCATCTTCGCTGGAAGATTCGGAAGGGTGAATCACTTGATACGGTTGAGGGATTGAAGCAGATGGTAGACCAGCAAAATGTCGCACATGTTCCAAACTTTCGCCTAATGATGTGGCAGTGTAGACTGGGATTCCACCTGTTTTCTCATATTTTTGGGGACTTGATGGATCAACAGATTCAACATTAGCAGGTAAGACAGGAGTGTCAACGACAGAACAAACTTCTTTAGGGTCATCAGCAATTTCAGCCGGAGGCAGAGCGATATTATCAGAAGCATAAACAACTAAAATCAATTTATTTGGCTCATCAGAGGATTTTTCTTTCTCATCAAACACAGGCAAGACATCAGTTTTCACATCAACAGACTCACTCAAAGGCAGAGATGTAGAATCAACATTCACAGGGGGATTCTCGGAATCCAAAACAGTTAAATTTTCAGAACAAGCAGGCACACAAGATGGGGTAGCAGAAACATCAGGTTTATCTGGTGAAATTTCAATAGGAGTTTCAGAATTGTTTGACCTGTTTCGGAGGATCTCCTATGTGTGTTTTGCCTCTTTCTGAGCAGCTTCAAGATACAGAGGGTGCGCCTCTGCTTGCCGTCGAGAGACCTCAACTAATTCTAGGGCTCGATGTGCAAAGTATTGAAGGAATGCCCCGGCCTGATTTCCATCCGAGGGTTCTGGAATATATACTGGAGAAACTTCATCACTGGCTTCAGAAACCATCATAAGCAGTTCAGTCGCATCATCTTCAGACCATTCTGCATAAAACTCTGGGTAATAGGTCATCACAGTTACTAAAATCTCGTCGCGAAGCAGAGGATCAAGTTTGAGCTTCTTCTGCATAGCAAACTGCAATAGCGTCTGAATGTGCTTAAGGGCCACCTCCGGAGAATGTGTCTTGCTTCCGAGCTTGATGATGATATTTCTTACCGGGTCCGCCATTGGAGAATTTTTTTTTTTTTTTTTTTTTTTGAGAGAGGAGAGAAATACAATACTGAGAGCAGATATGCTGAGAGAGAAAGGGTTTGAGTGCTGAGATGCTTGAAAGCCTGTTCTCTTCTTGGCCTGGTATCAAATAGACTAAAGGGTGAAGAACCCTAATCAATGCGGCTTGTCAAATATCATGCAGACGCGATTGATTGACACAACGGTATAGCTTCTTTTTAGGAAGGAAACGGAACCCAAGGACATTTGAATTTTGAAAAAAAGATTAAAATCTTTTGAGATATCATTAAGGCCAAAATAAAACCACTTAACAAAAATAGAGAGGAGTCTTCAAATAAAGTCAAACCAGTGGCTTAGTCAGAATATCCGCCAGTTGTTTGTCAGTTTGAATGTATTCCAATTCAATTTCCTTGGATTCAACCAAGTCTCTGATGTAATGATGCCTGATGTCAATATGCTTTGTTCTGGAATGTTGAACAGGATTCTTGGAGATATTAATAGCACTGACATTGTCACAATAGAGTGTCATTATCCCTTGAGAAAGACCATAATCCAGAAACATCTGTTTCATCCATACCAACTGAGTACAGCATCCACCTGCAGCTATGTATTCTGCCTCTGCGGTGCTTAGTGAAATTGAATTCTGTTTCTTGCTTAGTCATGATACTAAGTTCTTTCCAACAAAGAAACATCCTCCAGAGGTACTTTTTGGATCATCAATATTTCCTGCCCAATCAGCATCACAGTATGCAACCAGACTCAGTTCACTGTCCTTGGAGTACCAGAGGCCATATTGCATCGTTCCTTTAACATATTTCAGAAATGCGTTTTGCAGCTATCAGGTGTGATTCCTTTGGGTCAGATTGATACCTTGCACAGATTCCAACACTGAACATTATGTCTGGTCGACTGGCTGTTAGATACAACAGACTGCCTATCAAGCTGCGATAGACTGTGTTATCCACTGATATACCAATTTCATCTTTCGATACTTTTGTGGAGGTGGAGATTGGTGTCCTGGATGATTTACATGATTCCAGATCAAACTTTTTAACTAGATTCTTAGCATACTTCTCTTGTGAAATAAAGTATCCCTCAGGACTTTGCTTGGCCTGTAGACCTAGGAAGTATGTCAGTTGACCAACCATAGACATTTCAAATTCTTCCTTCATCATCTTTACTAACTCGTCAGTGTATTTCTGTAAGGTTGATCCAAACACGATGTCATCAACATAGATTTGGGCTATGGTTACATGACTTCCAGTAGTTTTTACAAACAGGGTTTTGTCAACACTTCCCCGTTTATACCCATGTTGAAGCAGATACTGTGTCAGTCGTTCATACCATGCCCGTGGGGCTTGTTTGAGACCATAGAGAGCTTTTCGAAGCTTATAAACATATGAAGGATGATCTAGATCTTCGAAACCTTTAGGTTGGGCCACATAGATATCTTCATGGAGATAGCCATTCAGAAATGTTGTTTTGACATCCATCTGAAACAATGTGAATCCCAAAATGCATGCGACAGCCAACAAAATCCTGATTGACTCGAGTCTAGCTACAGGAGCAAAAGTCTCATCATAGTCAATTCCTTCAATCTGAGTATACCCTTGAGCCACTAACCGAGCTTTGTTCCTTGCTATATTCCCTGCTTCATCAGTTTTATTTTTAAAGATCCACTTCGTTCCAATAACATTAACCCCATCAGGTCTTGAAACTAGATCCCAGACATGATTTCTCTCAAATTGATGTAGCTCCTCCTGCATTGCCTTGATCCACAGATCATCCTGTAAGGCTTCTTTAACATTCCTGGGTTCTATCTTTGAGGTATAACAAGCAGACCCAGATACTTCTGTCAGATTATTTCTTATTCTGCTCCTGGTCTTCATTCCATCTGATGGATCTCCAATAATGTTATCTGATGGATGGTTTTTCTGAGTTCTGGTGGGTTTGTCTTTACCAGTTTCATTTATGAGGTTTGTCTCCTGTTCCGAACTTTCTTGATCTTCATCTGACGATTCTTGTGATTTGGGCTGACTGTTGCTATCAGTGGCAGTTGGGTCACTGAGAGGAAGCTCTGTCACTGAATCTGTCACTATTGTGTCTACTGATTCTTCTGGACTGTCATCTATAACCACATTTACTGACTCCATCACAGATTGAGTCCTCTTGTTGTAGACTCTGTAGGCACGACTGTTTGGAGAGTATCCAAGGAAGATGCTCTCATCACTCTTTGGTTCGAACTTCCCTCTTTGTTCTCTATCAGCCAGCACATAACACTTTGTCCCAAACACATAAAAATACTTCAGATTTGGCTTCTTACCCTTCCAGATCTCATATGGTGTTTTGGTTGTTCCTGGTCTAAGATAGACCCTATTTATGGTATGACAGGCTGTGTGTACTGCTTCAGCCCAGAAACGCTGCGGCAGATGTGAGGCATGTAGCATAACTCTAGCCATTTCTTGTAAAGTTCGATTCTTTCTTTCCACTACTCCATTCTGTTGAGCAGTTCTAGGAGCTGAGAACTCATGTGATATACCGTGCTCGGAGCAGAAGTCTGAATATAGTGAGTTCTCAAATTCCTTTCCATGATCACTCCTCAATCTCTGAAATTTTATTATAGACTCATTCTTTTCCTTCTGAACTCTTATACACAGAGTTTTAAAGGCCTTGAAAGCTTCTGTCTTTACTCTCAGAAAGTATACCCAGTTGTATCGAGAGAAATGATCTACACACACAAATATGTATTTCTTTCCCCCAATGCTTTCAGTCTGTGTTGGCCCCATGAGGTCTATGTGGACAAGATCTAGGCACTTCTCAGTGGTGATGCCTTTTACTGCTCTGTGTGGAGTTCGGATTTGTTTCCCAATAGCACATGCACCACAGATTTTTTCCAGATCTATTCAGATCTTAGGTACACCTTTCACTGCTTCCAGTTTTATCAACTTATCCATATCTCTGAAGTTTACGTGACCCAGTCGTCTATGCCAGAGTTTTAATTCATCAGATTTGGATAGGTGACAAGTAGTTCCATTTGCCAAAACATAACAATTGTCTGAGGACCGAGTTCCTTCCATGACTAGTTGATTTGCTTTGTCACTAACTCTGCAGCAGTTACGATCGAAGCACACATTCCAATTTTGATCACACAACTGACTGATGCTAATTAGATTCGCTTTCAACCCACTGACTAGCAGGACTTCTTCTAATTGAGGTAAACCTGGTACATTTAGGATACCTTTCCCAACTATTCTCCCTTTTTGTCCATCTCTATATGTTACAGCTCCACTGCTGGGTTGAACAGCCATCAGACACTTAACATTTCCTGTCATATGTCTGGAACACCCACTGTCAAAATACCATCTAGCGTCAGTTGTAGATGCAGTCAGAACAATGGTGGGGTAGCAGATAACTTCTGACTTCCAGACCCAAACCTGTCTAGTGAATGGTGTAATGGTCTTATTCTGATATTTTTTCCTTCCTTTGATCTCTGTAGAAAAAATAACACTCAGGCCGAGTATGACCTTTTGTTTGATAGTAGTAACAAATAGGGGTGTAATATTTAACTTTGACAATCTTATTTTTAAACATTGAATAATGAGATTGATGAGTTAATCTGGCCAGGCCAGTATCAGCAGTCTGGTCGTACCTCCTTCCCTTGTTCTCCACTGACTGAGATGACTGGCCTCGTTCATAGTTGTGATCAGCTGTGGTCTTAGACATACCCTCTTTGATAAACTTAGGTGCATTATTCGAAGATTCACCTCGTTCAAATCCCAGACCCTTTTTATCATTAGGATTTCTGCCAGAGTCTAGAATCTTATCTAGGGTAGATGTGGTATCCATCATCTGGATATTTTTCTTCAGACTCTCCAATTCCTTGATCAGTTTTCCTTCTCCGGACCTTATCTGAGTGATGAGATCTTCTTTTATGACTAGATCTGTATTCAGTTTCTTTAGAAGATCATCTCTTTGCTTCAGCTCTTCATTCAGATTCTTATTCACTTTTACAAGTTGTTCCCAGCTAGCAACAAGTTTTGCAAATTCTGTTTCAAGTTGAGTATGTCTCTCTTCAAAATCATCAGTTGATATGTACGATTCTTCATCTGATTGATCTCCGTCTGACTGAAGGTCTGTAGCAGTAAAGAAGGCTACAAAGTTTCCCACATTATCATCTGACTGATCATTTGAAATTTCCTCCTCATCATCGCTTAAAGTAGCTACAGACATAGCCTTTTTCCTATTGAGATACGTTGCACATTCAGCCTGTATATGTCCATATCCTTCACATTCCCTACACTGCACTGACCGGTTGAGGGATTTACCTGTGTCTGTGGAACTGTTTCTGTTTTGTCTGGTTCGACCAGTCTGAGATTGATTGTTCTGTGAGAAAGGTGTTGTTTCAGCCTTTTGATATGAGGCGTTGTTGCCTTTGTATTGTGTCATGGTAGACTGACCTTGACCCTTTCTGTTGAAACCTTTTAAGATTTTCTTGAAATTCTTGGTTAGAAGCGCCAAGGTTTCATCATCTATGTTGTCTGTGTCAGATTCTCGATCAGCCTCAGTCATAAAGGCCACTGACTTTCCTTTTCTGTTGCTTCCAAGATCATCATCAGCAAGAACTTCTAGTACATATGTGTGTAAGCTTCCCATAAGTTCTCCGACAGTCTTCTTTTCCCAACGTGTGTGTTCCTAAATAGCAGTTACTTTCATTCGAAAGCGTTTAGGTAAAGATCGAAGGATCTTTTTGACCACTCTCTCATCAGTGAAAGGTTCTCCAAGAATTGAGGCTCGGTTCATAAGATTCTGAACCCTACTGTGGAAGGTCGAAATCGTTTCTTCCTCAGTCATTCTGAGTGCTTCGAATTCTGACATAACCATTTGTAGCTTTGACTGTTTGACATCACTAGTTCCTTTAAATCTAGTTTCGAGAATTTCCCATACCCGTTTAGCCTCTTTTTCTCCCGTGACAAGAGTAAAAACAGATTCATGCAAAGATCCTACAATTGAATTTAATGCCTTGTTGTTTAGATCTGAGGCATTCATTTCATCGTTTGTCCAAGTGGTGAGCTGTCGTAGGCTCCCAAATTAAAACCTTACAAACGTAGTAGCGGGAGTAAGGATCGATCCCACGAGGAGTAACTAGTTTAACTTTTGGAATATATCGAGAATAAAGATAAAATAAAAGAGAATTTAAATAAACAAGAAATTTAATTGAACGAATAAAGCAATGAAAATAATATATCGAAAACACTTATAATAGGAGACCTTGGTTAGTAAAGATCCACCACCGGAATTCAACACTGATCATTGATTAATAAAGTAATTAATATGCAATTGAATATTTGTCGTGAAATTATTTCATTTCTGTTTTCCCTTAGTTGTAGCTAAATAAAGCACAAGCGGTTTAATTACCCCTAACTACTAAATAATCTAAGACAAGCGCTATAGATTTAATTTAGTAGCAGCAATAGGAACTAGGAAAACCGACAAACTAAATAACACAAGCACAAGCGGTTGCATTTAATTTAGGAAAATATTCTATCCGAGACCAATTATCACTAAGCCGTCAATAATTAACCTCAGTTGCTACTGAATATTAGAATAATTTGTAGCACAACATTATCTAATATAGCAAATAATTATATCAAATAAATAACTAGTAGGCCTCCCTAGCAATTAAATGATACAACTATTCAAATAATTTAGAAGAATATTTAATACTCAAATGCATAAAAATATATATAATAAAAATAAATAAATAACCTTACAGCGTAATGAACTCCGGGGCTTCAATTCACTAAACCAAACTAGAAATTAGCCGCGAATGGACATTGATAACAACCTTAAAGAATATTCGAGAGGGGAAGAATGAACATTTTACAATAAGAAACTTCTACTATTTATAGCATTCTAAAAATAAACCTAAACTATTTCCTACCACTTGTTTCCTACTTTTGTGCCATATGTTGAAACTTCTTGTAATAACGCCTTGGAATAGCTCCAATTGACTTTATTTTTGCTGCTGCACCATACGTTTTGTTAGGAAAGCAAACAAATTAAAATATTATATATATATATATATATATATATATATATATATATATATATATATATTTATTTATTTATTTATTTACTAGTAGTACGTAATATATATATTAGTATGTATTCTTATATATTATATAATATATATATATATATATATATATATATATATATATATATATATATTATATTATATATTATATATATTTAGTATACAGTACGTAACATATATATATATATATATATATATTTATATATTAATTATTATATATATTATATATTATATATTATATATTATATTATATATAAAAAGAACTAATTATTAGATAATATTAAATAACCAATGCAAAATTATTATAAAAATGTACCTAAAATATGAGTGTAAAATGTGCATATCAAATTCCCCCACACTAAGACATTTGCTTGTCCCCAAGCAAAAAAATGTTATTTGCGAAGTAAATAGAAATGAAATTTCCAAAACTCATAACATATCATGAACAACAATCTGAAGCACCCTACAATTAATAAGTTAGCACCCTGTTTGAAAATGGAGAAAACTAAATAAGTAAGCCCTCACAGGAATATCACTCATCACTCAAGTGTTTGATGGGTGTAAATTTCACTCAAGTTCATTCCTATAAAATTGATCTACCATAGGCTTGCATATCTTCTCAATCACCACTACAAGAGTCATGCATGACACAAATCATAAGGACTTTTCACAGGTTGTAATGGGGTTAGGGTTAAAGTAGGGAATTTTTAGGAAATCAGCTTAAACAAAAGCTTCAAACTAGAGGAACAAATAAATACAAGTAATCCAACACCCTCAATTTCCAATAAAAAAAAAAAAACACATCCCATTGAGGTACAGAATGCTTCCTCAGTATTACCAGAATTTCCCCTTACTTCATTTATTTAGAAGTAACTTCAACTCAAAATCAATTGCTGATTCTTTTTCATTTTCTCATAAATTTTCAGCAATATTCTTCTTTTTCAAACGTATATTCTTCATTTTTCCATTTCATTTTTTCAATTTTTCATGCTTTTTTTTTTTTTTTTGAATCGTGAACTACTTCCTCTTTTCTTTTTTCATAGAAGACCAACGACATATTGGCAACGAAGATACAACTCACCTCACTCTCAATCATATTAATAAGAGTAAATGATCTCCCCCACACTTATCCTTCCCAACCTCACGTAGATTACAAAAATAATCCAAAATTTGCTCCACTAGTTATTCAGCTGGGTGAAGGCATTATTTTAGATATAAAAGGCTTGTAATGTGGTCCAAAATAAAGAAAGGAATGACCATAAAGCTCAAAGTGGTTAACAAAGGGAAATAAATCATAGGACAAACCGGTTATTTGGCTAGTGAGGCTCAAAGTCAAATAATGGCCTTAATCACATTTGAATCATGCATGGTCTAATTAGCTTTAAAAGAGAATCAAGGCAAGTTCTAGAGAAACAAAATTATGGAAGAAATCACACAAAAGAAAGAAAATAAGACCGAAGTGTCAGTCAGTGGCTCAAAACACTCACAGGTTTATTGCTTACTTAATATAACTACTACATATCAAACAGGAATTGCTAACAAACTAATCACAATTTGCCAAACTATTTATTCAATCATGTTATGCTTTTCAGGAAAGGAAAATATAGCAATTTTTCAAAATAATACTTATTTTGCATAAAATACTAGTAAAATATTTTTGAAAATTTTGAAATAAGAAAACAAATAATAATAATAAATTTTTTTTTTTTTTTTACATAAGCAAACTAATAATAAAACTAAATCCCTCCCCCACACTTATTACCAACATTGTCCCCAATGTTGAATAAAAAATGCACAGAAAAAGGAAATAAAATAAAATAAAATAAAAATGGAACAAACACACCTTAGGTTGCCTCCCAAGCAGCACCTTTGTTTATCGTCGTTGGCTCGACTTCTGATATTTCTTTAAATTTCCATCGTCTTTTTGAGTACCTTCGACGATTACGATTATTCAAAGAAATAGTCCCTTCATGCAGATTAGGACTCAAAGATGATTTATTATTTTTTTCTTCCGTATTTTCATTAGAAGCAATTTCATTAAATTTAACAAGTTTTAAAGAATCAACAAAAATTGCAAAATTATCATTACTAGGAGATTTCATGGTATCATATATATTAAAAGTCACAAGTTTACCATTAGACTCCATTGTAAGCATACCATTATGAATATCGATTTTAGTTTTTGCAGTTTTTAGGAATGGTCTTCCTAACAAAATATGAGAAATTTTATTATCATTTTCCATATCCAGTACATAAAAATCAGCAGGAAAAACCAAGTTATTAACTTCAACAAGCAAATCCTCAATCACACCCCTAGGATATGTAGTAGATCCATCAACCAATTGAATTACTATACTAGATTTACTCAGGGGTCCAAGATTTAACGAATTATAAACAGAATATGGCATCACATTAATAGAAGCTCCTAAATCTAACATAGCATTTTCAAGTTTCACACCACTTATCATGCACGGAATAGTAAACATACCTGGATCTTTGCACTTTTCAGGAAGATTGCCTTGACTAGCCATAGAGACATTCTCGTGCACTTTCACTTCATCAACTCCTTTATTTTGTTTCTTTTTCAATGTGCATACCTCTTTTAGAAAATTTGCATAGCGAGGTACCTTTTTCATAGAATCTAAAAATGGTTTATTAGCCTCACATTCACGAAATGTCTCATATAAATCATTATTTGAGTTTCCTCTTATTGGTTCCAAAAGAGCTTGAGGAAAAGGGGGTACTGGTTCATAATCAGAAAAAGAAGAAAGGTTACCTTGGGACTTCTCTTTATTGGCAATGTTACCTGCACTTATTTCCTTGTCTAAATCAACATTCTTTTCCAGCGACATACTTCTCACAGTAATTGCACTTACATTCTCTTTAGGATTAACGATCGTTTGAGAGGGTAATTTGCCAGAGCTCTGTGCTTCCAACCGACTTACCGTAGTTGCTAGTTGGCCCACTTGCCTTTCTAAGTTTTGAATACTAACCTTTGTTTCTTGAATACTAGCTCTTGTCTCTTGTTGGAATAGTTGTGTTTCTTGTTGAAACTGCAAAGTGTTAGTAGCAAGAGTTTTAACAATATCTTCTAGATTCATACCTGAGCTAGAGCTTTGGGCTGGTTGTTGGC